AATTTCATACCATCATTAATATGCAGCACAATTAAGGTGCTGCTGCTTGTTGGCATGACCAAGATTTTTGAAAATTAATTATTGATTTATGCAAACTATTTTCTTTTATGGTATTATCAGGTTGCACAAGAGCTGGTGTGTGCATGATACAAAGTGTTTTTTCAAACAAAAGCATGGAAGAAGTCACAGAATCTTGCAAGGGCCAAGGGCTAAGATGGATGCAGCTGCAACCACTTTTGAGTGAGAGCTGTCTCGTGGAAGATATCATAAAACGAGCTGAATCTCTGGGCTACAGTGGAATAGTGATTACATGCGATGAACCAAATTTTCCTGTGAGATATTCAACAATGAAGGAATCAAAAATCAAAAATGATGTTATAAGAAACCCCGAGGTCTTTGGAAACTTCTCCAAAGAAACAAATGATAGGATTTTTTCTTCAGAGTCAAATTTCCACAGTGAGATAAAGAAGAAAATGTTTGAGCCGATTTCTTGGGACTGGGTTGATTGGGTGCGTAGTATTACGACACTACCTATAATCCTCAAAGGTATTCTGAATCCACATGATGCCGAAGAAGCTCTGAAACATGACATCCAAGCAATATATGTGTCCAATCATGGAGGCAGAGTACTTGACTCTGTGCCACCAACTGTAAGTCTAGATGCATATGAATCAATTTAAACTTTTAAAATTGATCCTTAAATGTTCTAATCACTATAGTTATATGCCCTACCTGAGATTATTAAAGCAGTCAATGGAAAGGTTGAGGTTTATGTTGATGGTGGAATACGTCATGGTACTGATGTATTGAAGGCACTAGCACTTGGAGCTAGGGCAGTGTTTGTAGGGAGACCAATAATATGGGGACTGGCATGCAATGTAAGATAAAAATTATATTCTATAGCTAAAATATTGTCGCATACTTTGTCCATTTAAGCCCAACATACACTACAGAACATGTTGCTAGTAACATTTGCATGTGGTTACATTTATATTGCTAGCAAAAAATTTGCAAAAATAGAACAAATTTCTATTCTTAGATACAAGATCAAAGTAACTAAACAGATATGCTGCTAGTATTATTGGTAGTAATATAAAAATAACATTTATTTATACCTAAATGAATATTTTTAGGGTGAGGATGGAGTCTTTGATGCATTGCAAATGCTAGGAGATGAACTTCGTGCAGTGATGGCGTCTACTGGCTGCAAAAGAACATCTGAAGTTACCCCAGACGTCATACGACTTGCTTCCAACTATCATTCATAACTTTAATATCTATTCTATGCACTACTTTGTCAAGATACAGTTTATTTCCAATCCCTATTGTGTACTGTATCTGTGGTTACATGTGGTAGTGTATTGGCATCTACTAAACTTTGTTTTGTGATAATTATTAGTTAAATGAAAAAAAAATCAATTTTAACAAAATTGATGAAGATTGAAGACACAAATGTAGAAATTATTAAAGTTCAGTCAGTAATTGATGCCCCACTGCTCATGCTGTCCTCATGATAATGTGTATTCCAGAATCAGAGAATACAGGTTCACTTAGTTCACCTATCTTCAGAGCATAACTAAAAGATAGAATAAATAAATATAGAAAAATCGAAGGGAAAGGAAGAATAATATAATACTACATTAAAATCTTACGTTGCTTCTTCAAATGGTTCTACAATGGAATGAGCTCATTAGTCAAGTGATGGTGGCATGATTTGCTTACTTTGCATCTGTCCTCGTCCAAAAGGGCCCAAGTCTCCGCCTCTTTTAGCGCTACCACAATCGCTCTCTTTTGAGGCCAGCTCAGCAAAACCAACTTGACCACTGTCAATCTGCTCCCTAAAACCTAATTAATTAATTAATAATAATGGAATAATAA